CCACAAAATGGTAAAATATTAGCTAGATCAGTGATTCTCAACTGTCATGCTGTGGTACACTAAGTGTACTGCAAAGGCATGATTGGATTTGAAATCCTTTCATAAAATGTTCATTCAGTTATGTGAAGAAGAATTGATCACCATTTCTAGCAATTGAGGACTCAAAATATTCGACAGTACCCATTAATACATTTTGGATTTCAATATGAAAGGAATATCCCATATTAGCTAAAAAGGCTTTATTAGTTTTATTGCAATTTTCTACCTCTTATTTATGTGATTTAGGCTTCTCAACCCTAAATAACATAAAAAATAAGACACAAGAAACACTACGCTCAACTGATGATGAAATGAGTGTCTGCTTATCACACATTCAACCAAACATTGAAGAAATTGTGAAAAAAATACCAGGCACATGTTTCACACTAAATAAGCTGCACAAATAGTTGAATAGAAACATTGAAATAAAGTTAGTTCATATTTGTGTGTGTATTTTAAAAATATCTACGGTTTTATTTCATAACATTTAAATGTATACCCTTTAAAAATTTTTCTTAGTTTGCCATGGTATTTTCATATTGCTTAAAAAGATTGAGAAACACTGAGCTAGATAAAGACACCATTGTCACTAATTTTTTACCATTATATGGGAGGTATTACTGCTGCACTCTATATAAAATATAGCAGTTATTATGGGACAGAGAAGTTTAATAGAATGTTTAAGTCTAGAATGTTTAAGGAAATCCTAATAAGTCCTAATATTGCATTCGAATTTACATAATCTTAAAAAAAATACAGCAAATAAATTTATCAAAGCTAATTGTGACAAACTTGAAAAACTAAACTGTTAGCATTTTTGTCAGATTGATTTATTGGGTTACATTATATATCTTTAGGGTAACAGTTTTTAAAAATTAAAAAGTAACTAATTAAGGGCTGGGTATAATCTATTAATAGTTTGATGAATTTATTTTTAAGAGGTGGGGGTGAGTGATCAAGTGTTTTTGAATTTACCAATTTGACCAAATCAAGATAAAATCTAACATCTTAAAATAAAAATAATCAGAGTTATTTGCAATCATGGTGGACAATATGTTTGTCTCAGATGATTTCAGGACAATGTGTACATGCAAGTTGTTTTTTTTTTTTTTCAAATAAGATAATTCTTAAAATTTGTTCAGGGGTAAAGAAAAATATTAGAATTGTAGGTTGATGTAAATACATTTGAAGGTTTAAAAATAAAAATGCAAATTAAAGAAAGCCTTTGAAAAACTTGAAAAAAATAGGAGAAATTAATGCATTTATACACAGATATAAAAATACTTAAATAAAAGTACTTAAAAAAAAAAAAACTTTAATAATATGTATTTCAAATACAATTTTTATTTTCCCCATTTGAAATTTGACCATGTAATAAAAAGCATGGAACTATTACAATGGAAATCTGAATTGTAATAAAAAGAGGTAAATTGCATTCAATCAAGAAGAAAAATGAATTATATTTTCAAAACTCACTACCCAAATCTGCTAGCAGTCAAAGAATAACATTTATACAGGGGAATCTAAAGACATTAATAAAAAATATGATTCCCATTAAAATTGGAGTCAGTGATTTAATGGCTAATATCTTGTTTTTCCCCCCCTACAACACTTCTGCAATTTTGAAGGACATTAAGACATGAAGATAAAAAATGAAAATTAAAAAAAAGCACCCAATACCAATGACTTGTGATTTGATTTTAAATGAAAGGTTGAATAAACCTAGATTAAATACCGAGGCTAGAATGATTGCAGAAAGTGCTTAATTTCAACCCCGGTTTGATTTTGGATATTTGGCAGAGATGATAACTTATTAAGCATTTCAAAAAAATAAAATAAATAGCGCAGTCAGAAATGTTTATTTAAATTTATGAATGTAAGAGAAATGGTGGGAGGGAGAGGCAAACAAAAAAAAAAAAATTAAATAAATACAACTATTTTCAAATTTAAATGATTTTAGAACTTTTCAAAAAACAAGTTTTATTAACAGCTATAGATATTTTAATAACTGTGTACAAGTAACTACCACACACACACACACACACGCGTGTGTGTGTGTGCATGTAGGAGTAATAGAACAAAATGGTGGAATTATGACATTTAGCTTTAGTCAATCAGAGAAAATAAAAGGGATCAAATAACTGTGTACCAAAATACTAGGTAGAATGTAATTATATTAGGTTTGACTAAAGACATCACCCCCTGCCAACTTTTTATATTTAAACTAAGGGTCAAAAAAAAAAAAAAAAAAAAAAAAAAAAAAAGAAAAAAAAAAAAAAAAAAAAAAAGAAAAAAAAGAAAAGAAAAAAAAGGCACACTTTCAAAAGAAAATGTTCAGGCACAGTATTGAAGAATGTGGTTGCAAAAATAGCATTGCAGAATTATTTCCCTTGTAACCAGTACGTTTGCTTTAAGTAGAATATAAAAAGAATTTTTTTTTTTTGATGCACAAATAGACTTTTTGGTAAATGGTTAAAATAAACCATCATTAGGTAATACTTGCTACACTAAAATTCTCACAGCAGGAAAGCTTCAATTATTGAAGTAAATATGCTAACTTGTTTGAAAACTATTCCAGAGAAATTACAGTGAACAAGATTGTTATTAAAGTGTTTTTATAGTTTTATCATAAAAGAAATCCATGCATATCAACTGGAAGACATTTTCAAAACAGTTAAAATGCAACATTTTAATCTGTTATGAAGAACATGGAAATGCTTCATATTGAACAATTTGTGTTTGAGGATTAATATAATTACTTATCCGCTAATTGATGAATTGTATCTTTTTCTTCTTCAGTGGGGTGGATAATTGATTACTGATAGGTTCTGCTTCAGAAATATCTTCTAAACATTAATGACTAGTCATGGAAAAAATAATAAATTTAAAACTGAAACATCTGTCTGCATTAATTCAAAATGAAAAGAAAAGGAAAGAAAAGCAAGTCTTGTGCATAGACATGTATTATGAACATATTTTCATCACAGCTGTTTATGATGTTGAAGAACCATTCTCAAGAATTATAATTTCACAAGAAAGAGTTGGGAAAGCTAGCCAACTGGAGAAAGTGTATGTGCCAATGGTCCCTTAGAAGTCTTAAAGCAAAATTCAAAATATTTACAGCATAAATTTTTAAGGAACATAAACAGTGAAAAAAGTAAATACTGTTTAAAAAAAAAAATTATTTGTGGCCTGAGACAAACTCATTAAATATTTATTTTTGGCACTGCATTCCTTCCTGATCAGTTAATAACTGTACAAGGGAGAACATTTTTGTTTTTTATAAAGGAGAGATTTATGATCAAATAAAGATCTCTTAGGCTCTATCTACCTTCAATCTATCTATATTTCTATGTAGAGCATTCAATATCTAACCATCGAAAATTAAATATGCTTGAACAAATTTCATTTGGGCCCAAGAGCAAAACTAGAGATTCTAGTTCACTTGACAAAACATTATTAGCAAAATGAACATTTTATATATAAACAAAATGAACATTTTACTATATATATATATATATATATATATATATATAAAAACATGTATGTTTATTCACATAGACACACAAGATGATGTCAGCAAGTTGTCAGCCTGACCTGCTTCCCAAAATCAATATATCAAATGATCAAACATCAAAATTTGTAGGAGGAAGGGTTGAAAAAACATGAGAAACAGTGTACCAAATTGAACTGCAGGGTGACTATTCAGAATAGCATATACATTTCACAGCTCAAGGTCATTCTGCTTGGTTAGGCTGAGAATCTTTCAGCACCATTAACTTGCATGTGTATGTTCATATGTAGGAGATTTGCTAACCAAAATGTGACAGGTCATTTGAGAACTATAAGTCACTGCTAGGATTAAAGAATGTAAAGTATACTTGAAATGGTCTCGGTAAATTTGGTACTCTGAAAAGGAAATCACTAATAACAGAGTGAGAAGTATCAAAACAAAAGTTGAATAAAGTGTGAACATTTTCTCAAGTGAGATAACTGGATTAATAGATCCCCATTATTGCCCTTTACTTGTAAAAATAAAAATAAAAATCAAATTATAAGCATATTTAAATCCAATGATGGACAAAAGACAGTACCACACATGCACTTAATCATTTTGGAATTGTAAGTCTTAGAGGAAGTCCTATAGTCAAAGAAATCCTTGATTGTGATATTAGGAGAGAGAGCAAAGCTCCAATCAGCCAAGCTGTCATTTGAGTTCAAGGTTGATATTTATCGACAGGCAGAGTTCTTCAAAATCTGTCCAAGAGATCTGTTTTTTTTCTTTCTTTTTTCTTTCTTTCTTTTAGTTTAATAACTTAAAATTGAATTATTTGTGAAGTAACAATGTCATCTTCAGGCAAGAAAGGAAAAAAAAATTAAATTTTACACACAAAGCAGTTCAAATTCTTGCATTTATTTTTATTTATTTATTTTTTAAATATTTTGGCATCTATGATAAGAATGACTTGTTGCAGATATTGGATATTGGTTGTGAGAAAGAGACTGGAACAACCACATGTCAACGATTATAATTCAAGATTTCATGATTAATAGCCTCAACTGCCATAATTTTATTCATCCCAATGTAAATCACTTCAGATGTAATGGGAATATATGCAGTGATTATGATGTAAATATTAAGGTTCATGATGAGCAGCAGGTTGAGAGATTAAAAGATGAATGTAACAATGAAAATAAAGAGAAAGTTGAGAGGGAAAGGCAGTAAAAAGAAAGGGAGGAGTGTTGCAGGAAAGTAATTATTTTCATAAGATATTAACACCTAAAGCATTTAGATGTTTTTGTTTTTTCCTTTTAATTATTTAGATAGATGTTTTTTCTCCCTCTCTTTCCTGTCCTGATTTGTATTCAATGCCACTTGCTTTGTTGTTTGTTTTTCAGCATCTCATAAACTGCATTGGAAACACCATGTGTGTACGTAACTGTCATTGTGTCAGAAGCTATCACCAGCTCCATATTGTAGCCTTTCTACATAGCTGAATCTGTAAAGAGGGAGATAAAAAAAAAGAAAATCTCTATAAAGTTTGAAATTCAAGAAAGAAAAAAAAGAAAAAAAGGAAAAAGAAAAAAGACAAAAGGAAAAAAGACAAAAGGAAAAAAGACAAGGAAAAAGAAAAAAGACAAAAGAAAAGGAAAAAGAAAAAGAAAAAAGACAAAAGAAAAGGAAAAAGACAAAAGAAAAGGAAAAAGACAAAAGAAAAGGAAAAAGAAAAAAAACAAAAGAAAAGACAAAAGAAAAGGAAAAAGAAAAGAAGAAGGAAGAAAAGAGAAAAGAAAAAGCAAGAAAAGAAAAAAAAGAAGAAGAAAAAACAAGGAAGAAAAAAAAAGAAAAAAAGAGAAAGAAAAAAAAGAAAAAACACAAAAAAATAGCTTCTATCTGAATTTCTGGGATGAGGAATCATCACTATTTACATTCAGATTAATGTACTCATCCTTACAACTATTATCAAGTTTCAGTCACTGTGCCCTTCAACTTTCTTCTGGGTGGTTGTCAATCTAAGTAACCTTCAGAGAATTTGTAATTGAATCCTTTATTTAATCTACATGGGTAGATGGCTCTCATTCCACTCTCCAATGTTAAGGGATATCTTGTTTTGTTCTTTTTAGCATAGTATATTTATTGCATGTTCTGTTTCAAATGAATCCAGATCTGTACTACCTGACCCAGGAATTGAACTTGCCAAATTCATGAACCTATGCTTTCATCTTCTAGGTTATACTCCTGGGGGGGGGGGGTGGTTGGTAGACACATACCTGAAGAAGTCTAGAAGGCACAACAGTCAAAACACCAAGATGAGGACATTAGCCCAAATATAAATAATGCAAATAATGATAACTTCTTCCAAAAATTCAGACAGAAAAAATTTTTATATATTTATTTATTTTCCTTATAGTAAAGATCATGTGTTGTGTTTATCTAAGTGAAATTCAATTTAATTAATCTGCAAAATTTTACTCCCTTCCACAGAGCAACCACAGCACAGAGAAATTTACTGAACAAATTCACAAACCAAAACTAATTAATCCACTAGCCTTTTGTTGAAACTGACAGTAATGTAAATAAAAAATAATAAAATAAAAAATAACAATAAAAAATAGTCTGAATTTTTAAAATGAGGAATTATTATAGATTAATTCAATGAAACTGTTGTCTTCATTTCTGCTGCTTTTTATCTTACATTTCAGTTGCCAGTCATATTTGACCCTTGTGACACTGCTTCAGCTTATAGCACCCAAATAAATATAACTTCTGAAATTGAACTCTTGCTTTATTTGTAATAAACTGAAGTCACTGTGCTTATTTTAGTGATAGTTCACTTTAATTGGGTGGAATGAACAGAAACAGCATTACAAAAACTGAATATGACCAATACCTGAAGAAGGACAGGGAGTAAGCCAAGATTAGGACAACAGTGAATATCCAACCATATCTGTTATTTATTGTTTGCTATACTGAAGCAATTTAATATTGAAAAAATAATTCATATATATCTGCTGATGGCTCCATATTTATAGCTTTGCACAAGACTTGTTTGTATCATGGTAATGAATTGTAAAAATGTTTCAACACAATTTTATTAAAAACTAGCAGTATGGCTTGGCGTTGCCTGTGCTTGATTAAAAAATCGTACGACTCATACAGCAATCACTATCACTCGACTTAAAATATTTTTGCCCTTTCCTGCCTTTAAAGGAGTGCCCTTTGCTGTGCTGATGTTGCTACATGCCTTACTTTTTGCCTATCTCACACTGCGAATTTTTTCTAAGCTCTATACTAAACATTAAGTCTGTTACGAAAAAAGAACTAAACAAAATGAACATAAAACGATCAGCTTTAAAAACAGGACTCATAACTGGTAAAACCGAATGAAAAAAGAATGTTAACAATGAATACTTTTTCACACGCAAACCCAGTTCTGCGGAATCAGAATCAACGTTGAGTTTAAGCAAGCAAATGAGCCAATTGGAGTAAAGTTCCATGCAGATTTAAATTTTTCCCACTTGTGAAGAATGCAGCTATCGATTTTTTTTGCATGCTAGCATGCTAGTTAACATTCGTGTCAGTCAGCTGTTGGCTCTCATGCTGGCCAACAGAATTTTCCTGCCTATTCGTGGCAGCCAGCTATAGGCTCTCACTCTGGCCAGAACAAAATGGCCACAAACTACATGAAAACTGCCGTAGAAGCATGAAAAAATCGATTATTTCCACTATCAATAGGAGTTGGGAAATGTAAAGATGGTCTTGGCGTTCCCGTTAACATGGAGCATGTGCATGTAAATTTTGGTGCAAATCCGTCGAAAATTGCGGTTGTGCATTTGTTACACACACACACACATCCTGCCTTTTATAGATAGAGTTTTTTTTGTTGTTTTTTTTTTTACTGTAAGGCTTACCCTGTACAAGGACTGGGGGGCCATTTGAGATAGATGGTTATGTTAAGAGGTAGTTTAGATGGATAGGAGGTGAAGGTAACATTAAGATTGTAATGACCAGGGGGAACATCTTTCTGGAAATTGGTTCTATAAAAGCAGTGGTTCATAGGAATAAGCTGTTCAAGTGGAACTAACTTTTAACCAATGGAAAAATGGAAGGACTGTGGGTGGTTTGCTACAATGTATGTGTGGCATGGTGGGTCCTAGTTATGAAGGTTAGACTCAGTGGAATGTAGTTTGTCTGAGCACATTCTATGGTAGTAGCAATAGAACAGTGGGAAGATCGCCACATCCCGCCTGCAAGAGAGCATTTGGAGGGTGGAAAATAATTTGTCACTCACAAGGTCTTGGAGACTCTTTTGAACTCTACTGAGATTGGAAAGTGATGACTGGGCAGAATATGACGAGAATACTTCATTTTCAGCCTGATCTGGCTCTTATATAGGTAGAGGATAGCATGACGAGTCAGGTAATTACTCGAGCAGTACAGAGAGCCAACCATTTTACCTGCATCTTTAGTGATGGATCATATGTATGAGCTCCACTTGAGGTCAGGTGTGAGCCCAATAGTCTCTCAAGGCATGGTATTTCTTCAAGGGGACATCCGTTCATAGAGACTGGTGGTAGTTCAGGGTCCAATTGATGGGGGAAGTAATGTAACTAGTTTAGTTTGTTTTTTTTTTGTTATATAGAAATAAAGTGTTGTTGCTGACACTTGAATTTGAACATAGATTGCTAGTGAGCAAACACTGGTGATCCCATTATTGAATTAAGTAGACCACATGACCATAGAGGAAATGCATATATGTAGGAAGTAGCTGATGTCTAATGATCGTTATTTCTATTCTATCCTCTATTACTATATGGACCGCTATTCTCTACTCTATTCACTATATTCTCTTTCCAGATCACTATACAGATTACTATTGAAGCAAGTATTATCGAGCAAGTGCTATTAGTTTGAGTGATATTTGAAGGCGTCTGACACCAGTATTGTTCAACAGCATATTATAGTTGTATCTTCAATTACAAAGTCTTTACTACACCGAGCATTATGAAAGTGACAATGAGTATTCACTGACATCACAAAATTTTTGTATTTTGATATTTCTATTTTAAACTAAGTTTAACAAGTTCTTTAGCATTCAATCATGATTTAAAAAGAAAAAAAAAATTTCATTAAATTTATTTTGGTGAAAAAAAAGATTAAAATTTATTATTCACTACAAATAATTTAACAGTTTTCCTGTTTTAATTTGTGGATGAATAAAAATAAAATACATGTAATAGGGGGGGATATTATTAATGGTTTCTTAAAACTTTACTATCTACATTTTTTTATAATCTTAACATGACAATCTATGTTAATAAAGTGCAGTGTACATGTGTCTACCAGTCTATCCATTTTTTGATCTCAGCAAGTAACAAGGAGCAACTACTGTAGTTACACACGATTAAAAATTAAAAAAAATTAAAAATTAAATTTAAATATCAGACAGAGTGAAAGGTTTAAAAAACTCCTTAAAGGTTTAACTTTAATTTTGCTTTTCGTTGCAATTGCAATTGATATTGTCTAAACTGTAATTAAAACTTAAGTGGGGCATGGTATGTTGCGCATATGCTTTTTTTCTTTTTCTAGCACGTGTACTGTGGCGTATTTGAAATATTACATAGTTCAGGTTTTCTAATGTCTTAAGAATGACTTTATGTGAAGGGATCATAAAGAATGGTGATTTTAAAAGAAAATAAAAATTGCGTGCAAAATAAATATATGAAGAAAGATTATGCTGAATTAAGGTGTCCAATAAAGATAAAATAATTTTATTCTTTATAAATTCATTAGAACTTTTACGTACATAGGACGCTGAAGATTAAAGGTCGAAGGAGCTAGCTGAAACTATACTTGAAGAGCAGCTTGTAGGCTAGACAAAGATAATAAATGCTATGTAGGCAATACTTCTTTTCTTCAAAAGGTGACTACTATCATCTCACCAGGGCTGCATTATTGTTAAACATTAAAGGCAATATTTCAGTTATTTTTTTATGACTAATTAAAGGCATGTCCATTCATGAGTGTTGAGTAATGCTCCCTGTTACCTCAAAGGGTGCATAAAGGTTGGAGGAGCGACATTTGATAAATATATAGAGTCAGATTATCTTTCTACAGCTATATAATGTTGAAACACTGGTTCTCGTACAATCACAGCAATTAAGCAATGACAAGTCTGGTACTTAACCAGTACTTAGATGGGTGACCATTTGGGAATACCAAGTGTTGTAAGCTTGGATGTGTGGGTGGTGCAATGGATAGCAGTTTGGAATTGGAAATTGGAGAGGTGAGTTCTAATTCCAGTTGGGTTTGTTATATTCACTTACATGCAAATACCCTTTGGAATCCACCTCTTCTCCTCCCAGCCACGGGTTAATTCATAGGAAATGTATCAGTAAATCATTATCTCCCCAAAATTCTTACAATCTAAAAATATTTTCTGTAAAAGGTTGATAAGCCATAAAAAACAACAACAAATCAATCAACCATCTCCATTCTTAAAAAAAACCCCCAAAAAACTTAAATATATTTTGATCATTGAAGAGATTTTATTTTAGTGTAAATTAATATTAATAGAAAAAACTTACATAGTACTATAATATAAAATGTTCATCTTTATATTAATTATAAAATTATTTCTTACAAAATTTATTTTCAGCAAGTTAGTAATTTAGACCACCCCCCAAAAAAACAAAACAAACTCTTGAGGAAATTCTCACCAGTGAATTGTGAGTCTCCATGGCTATGATCAGTGAGACTTTTGTGCTTCTTTTGCAGCCATAATCAAGGGTACCAAACTGGCAAGGGGCTTTGCCAATCGCAGGAACGGATGCTGAAAACATATCAGTATATCTCAAAACAAAGGAAAGTTTTAAACTAAGTAAAACAAAATCTAACATAAGAATTATTACGTCATTCAAAGAAATGATTAAAGCAAAAGAAAGAAACAGAGAACACACTCTCAAATCTGTTTCTGCCAATATTTTACCTTTGAATACAAATTATGCAATATTTCTTTAATAGGTATTTATAATTAAGCTGTTTCATAAAAAACAGTACTAACAAAATTTAAAGTTTCCAATAATAGTGAGCTCCAAAATATTTTAATGTTAAACAAATTAGTAATTTTGTCAGTAATTAATGACTATAAATTGTTTAGAAATGTTTTTAATGAAATGAGTAATAAATAAAAAATTCTAGTCTGATATTCAAATTCATGTGGACACATCATGAGCATACTGTAATTTTACAATTGTTTAATTATAATAGGAAAAAATATATAAGAATATAAAAGCTTATTAGGAACCAGTGCAATAAAGGTAAGTGATAAATCAATAACAGTTACACAAGTCTTGTTTTATCAGAATATTTTGGCCAGTGTACATTCTGTCTTTTCTCATCCTTTTATTGAAACTAAGATCAGGTGTTATTGTAATTATACAAAAATTCTCTCAAACCAGTTTCTTTGATTTTTTTGTCTTTATCACATTTTCATCTAAAACATGATAAAGGAGAAGAAAACTAAATTTGGGCAACAAAACAATCATTGTAATGATCTAAAAAAAAAAACTAAAAAAATAAAAACAAAAACAATCAGAATGATTAAGATCGAAACTTAATGATAAGAGATATTAAGATTAAAAAAAAAAAAGTAAAGTCAAATTTTAATTGAAGAAATGAAAATGTCAATTTAAGTGTAAATACAATACTTCTGTGGGTTTTTTTTTAATTAAAGTTTAAATGACAGATATTTCTAGTAGGTTTGTAGTAACCAAGCATTCATATGCATATGCTATATGTATGAAAATAATCGTTTTTGTTTATTTCAGAAAATTATATTTTTTGTGAACAAGATTATCCTTTTATCCATTGAAAACAGGCTACACCAAATTGTTACTTGTTCTGAAAGAGCTAAACAAATTCTGTTTATAATTGATAGAATGTTAGTAACAATATAATCAAAGTAAAAATGTATCTTGATATTTTGCTACTACACAAAATACTCAAAGATTAAAAATACAAGGTGACTAACTAAACAGTCCAAGGTTTAAAATTTGAAAAGAATTTTTGAAAAATCTTAGCAATTCTTTATGTAGTACTTTTATGTAAGCAATTGCTAACTTTTCAAGGTGATTACACATTATTTAGTAGCAAATGTTCTTTTGAATAAATAAGGTTTGCAACAAAGCATATAGACATTTGTGAAATCTTTCTAAGAAAATACAAGTTGACTTCATTAAGGATTCTAACTTAAAATATGAGAGAATCCTTATTGAACCTATTTTTTTGAAGAAGTTAAAATCAAATCTGAATCCATTACAGGGTTCTTTTTTATATTAATCTTTAGAAATTTGGGGAGTAGCTAAGAAAGTACTTAAAAATCAAGTATGTACATAAGTACTGTGGTGAAGGCAACCATAGTTGTCTCCCCTTCGAACAATTCTACAAAAAGTTGAACTGCTTCAAATTCTTAAGCTTAATGGTTTGTCTGCTTTCTTTACAGGTACATCAATAAGTTCATAGATAAATTAAGAATAAAAGCATTTATTTAATATAATAAATATTTCTAAACATAATTCTGATTATTCTTGTTAATACACTTCATTCAGTAGTGAGTATTACTGTGTATTATAGTGTACAACAAGACTCACTTTTTTACCCACAAATTTGATATCAAAATCAACTTGCCTTCCATACACTGAAGGTATGAATAATACACACAGGTGTAATTTTAAATAGGCAAGCACTCTTTAGTTTATTTTAATGTGTTCTTTAAAAATCTCGTATGTGCAATGTGCTCAATCAATTAGAATGCTTTAATGCAATCAACATTGATAATCACCTAATCAATATTTCAATTTTCATTGGATACTTGGCATTCTGGGACATTCTTACTGTCAAGCTAAATATGACACTGAAAGCTGAACTATCATTTCTTAGACTTCGGAAGCAAAATAGTTTGATGTTTTGAGCACTTTTATGTTTAGGATAATATATACTAGTTCTTAGAGCATCATCGAAACTTTGCTCAATAGAAATCTTTCAAATATAACGTTTTTTCAGCATAAGGTTATGTCTTATATTCCAAAAATGATGGTAATTACATAGACTGAACATTATACAGTTAAAATTTCAGATCCTTATTCAAGTAATGTATCAGGATAGCAAGATCCTCCCCAGAAGAGAGCCCCTTGTCAGGTTTTGTGAAACATTAAGCTTATGTTTAGTAAATATGAAGAGCACCAACAAATTTATATGGAAAATTCTAAGTTTCTTATTATGAAAATGTGTTTCTAAAATGCAAATGCTTCATAATTAAAGGCTCAAACCATATTAAAAATATTTTGCATGAAAATCATATTTTATTGTGACTACACAATTTTTTTTTTTTTTTATAAGCAACTTAGAATTTTGATCAGTACTTGGGTTGCTTAATTTTTGTGCCAAGAATTCCAGTTGCTTAAGTGGTTTCTAAAGCTTTTTTATGCTTGGGTTTAATAAATAGAAAAAAACATTTCAATGTAACTAAGCCAATAGAATTGATAGAAACCTTGAATACAGTATAAAATAAATTTAATAACTTTTTATTGTTTATGCTTTTCTTTGTCTTTTTTTTAATTGCTTAAGCCACACTGACATCAGAAGTCAAATTTACATATAAAAAAAACATGTATCATTGTACAAAGCAACATAATAAAGCAATTATCTTTACAAAGAAAATGTAAGAAGAGAAATGATTGGTTACACAACTAACCAATCAGGAAAGTGGTTAAGAAGACCTTATATACCTTCAATAAATCAGATGCAGAAGCTCTCTTATCTACATCAACCTCTAAACATTTGTCTAAGAAATCCTGGAAGACTGGAGATAATTTATCCTTCTCTTTGATTTCTGGTTTTCCATTTGTTGCTATTAAATACAGCGCCTACAGATTTAAGAAAAAAAAAATATTGAAAGAGTTTAACAGTTTTCACTTGTGATTTTTAGGTGTTTTTTTCCCTCTCTTTTTTGTATTTGTACAAAAATAGATAAAGAGGCCAATGACATTTTATTTCAATAAAAAGTAAAATTGAATGTTTGAGTGGTAAATTTACAAGAAGACATAAAGATAATAAATGATTATAGAATAATATTGTTCAAAAAGTAGAAAGTTGTTAAGAAACTTTAATTTTGATGTGTCAGTAAAGATAATTATCAAACAATGTTGAATGCCAAACTTAAAGCTTTTAAAAAGACATAAAAAATTAATTGAAAGCCATTTTGTTATAAGATAGTTGAATTCATTTTATATTCAATACTCAGTGATATCTGCTTCAAGATGTTATAAAAAATTTAATAAAATATGCTTAAGATAAATCAAATTTTATCCTTCATATAAACAAGAATTATAACTTACCCTCAGAGGATTTTCATTTAAATAAGGAGGTTCTCCTTCAATCATTTCAATTGCCATAATTCCTAAACTCCAAATATCAACTTTTGGACCATACTGTTTCCTGTTCAGAAAAAAAAATGAAATGCCTTATAAAAGGTTTTGTACGAATTGTTTGATTCAACTTTAGCATTAAAGAAAGTTACTAACAAAACCTATTTATATTAAACAACTTTGTTCTTAAGAATAATTAATATAGAGATAAATGAAAAAGTTTATTATCAAATTTGGTTTTCATATACTCTTTTAGAAGATATTTTTACAATCATTTTCTTCATTTCTGTTCTTCTGAGAATTTTGCTGGTGTACAGCATCGCTCTTTGGTATACCAGCTGCTTGGTAGTGAACAGGAGGACCCTAAAGCAGGCTATAGATGTTTCCCAGAAAATTTGTAATTCTTATTGTCAGAGAAGATATAATGAAAAACAGCACAACTTGCTTGATCTGTTGCCTTCAGGGTGACATTTTAGATCTATTAGTTTTAAAACAGTGTTTGTTGGACAGCTTCTATCTCCGTGTAAAATGAACACTGCCTCATGTTGACAATTTTAAATGTACTTTAAACATCATCACTTCCCTTCATTTGATTGTGTGTGTGTAAAATTTCAAATATAACTAAAAATATATTTGTCAAAGGAAATATGAATGAAGTCAAAAGGAAAACTTAGCTGATATGTTTTGACCTCTGATGGACTTTATCAAGGCAAATGTAAGGATTTTATTTTGCAACAAGTATATATATAAACAAAAGTAAACGTTATTTTTACAACATTTTTAAATTTAAGAAATGCTCATAAATATTCATCAGGATCACTGAAAATTCTTGGTAAATTATGGAGGATGCTAAGTGACATAATTTAATCTAACAAACAAAAGTGAGTAAATGATGTTGAAAATTTAATTTTTTGTTTTATAATGTAATAAATATTTATATTATTTTAGTTTGGGATTAATTTATGTATTAAATAAAAGGAATTTATGAACTTAACTGTTTTCTTTTAATTTTTTAACATTTTCATAGTCATGTATGTTACACACACACACACACATATATATATATATATATATGTATGTATGTGTGTAATAAATGACTATGAAATGTTAAAAAATTAAAAGAAAAACAGTTAAGTTCATAAACCGTTTTTTTTAATTTTTACATTTTCATAGTCATGTATGTTACACACACACACAGATATATATATATATATATATATATATATATATATATATATATATATATATATATGTGTGTGTGTGTGTTTTGGGGGTGTACCTGGAGACTGCTGTCCAATTTCATTGTACATTGCACAGTGACAAGATGAAGAAATAAAAAAACTCAAAAGAAATTTTGTTTCTTGATTTTTAATTAAAAATTCATTCAAATTAAGTGTTCAGGAGATTGTATTATTGTTGGGTACTTGAATTACTCCTATTCCCGCTGACAGCATCCTCCTACTACTTTACTATCACAGTGTTAAAGTTAAGAAACTTGAATACTGTGCACTGTACAGAGAATATAAAATTGCATAAGATCAACTTAGACCAGCAAGTCAGCCATTGACAGCGATAACATGAGGACAAAGTCAGTATCAAGAATCAGCAATTTAGTGCACTCAGTATATTTGCTCAAAGTACAGCTATCAAGTCTCTGTATCAAATGGTTGCTACATATTTGGAAAATATCAACATAATTTTGCTACAAGGAATTAATTTGTATTACTCAAAAGCATAACAACTTTGGAAACTGTAGTGAACGAGATAATCACTTGTAACACATTCGTGAGTTATTTTCCTGACGTGTTACAAGTGATTATCTCGTTCACTACATGTAGTGAACGAGATAATCACTTGTAACACGTCAGGAAAATAACTCACGAACGTGACTTACAAGTGAATATCTCATTCACTACAGAAACATAAATGATGATGTGGATGTAATATCCAAACAGAACTACAGGTGCATATAAAAGGTGTTAAAAGAATCTATTTTTGTGAATGAAATATCTCCAAGTTCTGGGTTATTTGATGCGGTCAGATAACCTGACAAGTGAAGGTCTTTCATCCAAGTATTCGTATTTGTTTGTTGGTACCAAAATTAAGTGAGTTGAATGGAAAAGTCATATGTTGCCAAAACCTGCTTCAGGGCAGTTTGTTTAGTACTCTTCAGTGACCTGACATGTAAACTATACCACAAAACACAGTAACTCCAGACTGAAGTTATTTTGAAGTGTTTCTAACTTCTTGATGGTAAGCTTTTCATGTTTTTTTCCTTTTTAGCTACTGACCAAATCACTAAAATTAAAATAAAACCTTTTTTGTTTACTAAAAACCTAATTAGTTTTCCTGTTGTTCAATTTGCTTTTCTTTATTGTATTTCTTTTATTGCACACATGACAAAAGGTTCAAGTTAGAATCTTTCAGAGATACAAACAAATCTGCTTGTAAATTCATATTTTGAACATTAAAATAGGTTGCAAAATGGTAATATTAACCGTTTCCTTATACGGAAGCATTCAGCATTCATTGACTGAACAGCTAGTGCTACTTTTGGCTGAAATTTATAAAAATCTTTCTCTTCTAACAATTTTTCAGGAAAAAAAAGTTTCAAGTTCACTGTTATTGTTCTTCCTATGAACTGATGAAGGCTTTAATAGCTGCTTTGTGTCATCCTATTAAACACAATGTGCAGTTTGCAGTGATTCATGTGACATCATGGTGTTATTTGGAGTTATCTATGGTTTTCACAAATATATATATTCTAGATATTTAACCTTTGAGCTTATATTTATTAAAAAGGGTTGTCACTATTTGTTAAAGAATTTGCTTAAATATCTGATACTTTTTTACATCTTAAATCTTTACAACTGTAATAGTTAGAAATAGATGAAAATCAAACATTGTTTTTTTTTTTTTTTTTAAATAACTGACCTTGTAACTACTTCAGGAGCCATCCAATATGGGGTTCCCACCATAGTTGATCGTTTACTTTGTTCAGGAGATAATTGTGCACAAAACCCAAAATCAGCTGCAAGTGTAAAAGACAAGCATCATTACCAAGAGAGTAAGCAAACTATCCACAAATAGGAAATGGAATTGATATATATATATATATATATATATATATATATATATATATAAAAATAAAAGAAAGAGGTTATAGTGGTTTCAACGAGAGAAAAGTGTGTATATTAAAAAGAAGAAAAGAGAAGTACCGCAAACGTTTTTGGTTGTAATGTGGATTTTTTTAAAAAGAGAATATTTAACACTGAAAAAACATAAGGAAAAAAAATTAATTATTTTTAATAATATGTGGAAATCTCCGCCATTTACCTGAAGACGGTCGCAGGACCAGAAACACGTGTAGTAAAATTATGGAAAATAAAATATAATTTTTTTTTTTAAATCCACATTACAACCAAAAACGTTTGTGGCACCTCTCTTCTTCTTCTTTTTAATATATATATATATATATATATATATATATATATATATAAAAAAAGGCTTAAACACTAATATTAGTGTTTAAGCCTTTTATTATATCCTTACTCTGTCCTGGACATTGAGTTCTACCTGATTCTATCCTTTTTTTATACAAATATATATGTATGTATATATATTTATATATTTTAGATATATGATTGCATATGCATGTGTATATTTACACTACTATTATTATATATATATATATATATATATATATACACACACACACACACATATATTAGAATTTCCCTTTTCCTCTGCTGTGTGCTGATAGCTCAGAGGTAGAAACTCCGAATGATGCCACATCAGTCGGGTTTTGATCATGGCTTGAAGCAATTGGATGTCTAGTCGCACTTATGAATTGTGATACAAAGAAACAGGCCTGTATGTAGATGACATTATAATGCTCTTGAAAATTTTGGTTTAACACTGTTGAGAGAGAGGGTAATTCTAAACAGCAGCCATCTCCATTAATGCAACGCTCTTCATTAGAAATGAATCGAGCATTATGGCTGTCTGGTGTTTGTTTACATTTGTAAAAAAATAATATGCTAGAATTTCCCTTTCCCTCTGTCATGCACTGATAGCTCAGGGGTAGAAACCCCGAGTGATACCACATCAGTCAGGTTTTGATCCTAGCTTGAAGCAATCAGATGGCTAGCTACACTGATGTACTTTGATACAGTGAAACAGGCCTGTATGTGGATGACATTATATATATATATATATATATATATATATATATATAAATAAAAAAAATAAAAGGCTTAAACACTAATATTCCATGGTCATAATTTATTCCATTGGAATCGTAAATACGATCCAATTCATCAGACCTACAAATTCAAAAAGAAAACAGAAAAAACAACTCCGGAAATAAAAACAGAATTTAGAGAAAGTGTAAGTATGAGAAGGAGGGAGATTAAACATTAACAGAGAGAATTTTAGGAGAGGTGGGTGGAAGGGGTTTAAGTAAGAGAAAAATGAATGTTGTCGGATGTCTAATGCATAAAGATACATTTCGTGGTGACATACACACACCATAGACAATCTAATGTTAGAATAAGAGGGAGGAAAATATATATATATAAAGCTCAAAATTTTGTGCATCTGTCCAAAACACTGAAAATTAAATATGTATAAACTTGTGTGTGTATGTGCGCTCAAATATTACATAAAACTAAAATATATGTAATTTTATCAAGAATTTTGTCTGCGCATCCACTCTAATAGTACATGGCTAAGGTTAAAATGAGTATTTCACATATACATGGGATTATTACAAAAACTGTTCAGTTCTCTTATTACCTTCCCCATTGTGATGCCTCAGACCACATTCCCCTGTTAATGGGAAAGGTTCTGCTCATGGGGGATGATAGAGAATCAAGAAAAGCCTGATGACATTGCAAATTATATGGCTTACTTTGATTGGTGGACAAAGATATTTAAGTTCAGAAACCTTGACTGACTCCAGGCTCATCATTCAAAGAAGTCTTTGTTGGCAGACTGGCTGTTGTTGTTACAGCAACAGTTGTCTTGCACTTTCCTGTGTTATCAGAAGAGTCCACTATATAGAAATCTGATGGCCAAGTGACAACAAATTCCTCTCAGTATTCTTTATTATGCAAATTTTTGCACTAGTAATTACTGGTGGCTGTTCTTAGAGATAAAGTAACAAAAAGCCACCTTGAAACAAACTCCAGTATTCCACTCAAAACACTTGCTGACTTCAATAATACAATTATTTGAATATTTAAAATTTAAATATATAACAATGTATATATAACAATATATACATTTTTTTTTTGTGTGGCTAACACTTGACAAGAGTACACCAACAATGCACTCTAATCTTAGACAAGTGCAACTGTATATGTAAATAATCATCATTTTTTTATGAGTAGCATGCAAGTATGATAATAAAAAATATAGATTACAGAATACTCCATAACAAACTTAACATTGAAAAAGGGCATAATTTTAAAAAACTATTTAATATTCATTAATAATATTTCAGGTGTAAAAATTTTTAATATTCAGAAAAGAAAATTCATTTAGAGAAAAATAGTTAATTTGATGAAAAAAAGAAAAAATATACTCACTCAATTTCACGCTACCATCCATACCAAGTAAAATATTATCACTTTTAATGTCCCTATGAATCACTTGATTTTCATGTAAAAACTCTAAGGCTTGCAAACACTGTAAATATAGAAACCAGATTGTTAGAACAAGAAAATACAAGCAAAGAAAAATTCTAGAAACTTTATAAAAATAAATATCATCCTTCTTAGTGTATTTAAAAACAAAAAAAGCAAAACAAAAAAAAAAACAACAAAAAAAACTCCTCTTTGTGAAAACAAAAAAAAAAATTAAAGAAAATGGTGCATACACAAAGAAAGTGCTGGAAAATTTTCAGCATGACCAAACAGGATGAAAAAAAAAAAAAGAAGATATTTGGACAGGCCTTGGAAAGTGGGTCAGACAAAGAAATATTCTCTCTGTGTGTATATGTCATCATCACCCCCTTGACTTTTGTAATTGTAGGGGGGATCCGAATACAGAAGCCACACTAAATCTCCTCCACAACAAGCAAGAAAGAAACTATTAGAATAGAACATACGTTTGAATCTAGCCATGAAACAATGAGATCTAGTTGCCAATCAACCATGAAACAATGAGATCTAGTTGCCAATCATCTAGTAATACAATTAAATTCATATGTTTGAAGTAACAAGGAGAAAAGCTCATTTGAACAAAATGATTCATAAAATGGACTTAAATTAAACAAATTTTAAATAAAACATCAACAAAAAGAAATGCAAACATTGTAATGAATTTTTATAAAACAAAGATTCAATAAAGAATACTTTTGGGTGTCAAATAGGTCAGAAAATGTAACAAAGGGTGGCGTTAATAAATGGTGAGATTGGAAAAAAATAAAATAAAATAGAAGAGAAAATATAATAAAAAAGGAGGTTTCAATAAATGGTGTGGTTGAGAAATGATTAAAGACAAGTCTTTCAAACTATACGAAAACCCCAAAGAAATAAAACTAAAAATAAATGCCTATCAATGTTTTTTTCTTTTTTAATCATTTCACTCCAAGCAAGGTGATAATGTTATTAGGTAGAAATAAGTTACTGATAGTGAAAGAAAATAAGACTAGTGAGGAAAAAGGAAAATAAAAGAACAGGATTCAGAAAGACAGAAAATGATGATTGACGCTACATTTAAATTTTTAAACATTGTAGAAGACAGGGAAGCAAGAAAGTGGAAGAAAGTTCTACAAGCGAGAAAGAAACTATTAGAATAGAACATATGGTTGAATAATAAACCGTAAAACAATGAGATTTAGTTGCCAACCATTTAGTAGTACACTTAAATTCATATGTTTGAGGTACCAGGGAGAAAAGATCATTTGAACAATTACCATGAAAGTATTTATAGAAAAGACACAGGGAAGCCACGTCATGGCGGTGGGAAAGTGACAGAAGTCGATTGATTTATTGATTCATTTTCTACAGCTTAATATTTTGCAGGTTATTTAAAGCCAGAAAATATTTTTAGATTATAAGAATTTGGGGCACCTTGAGGTGGTGTAATGGTTAGCAAGCTTGTCTTGCTAGAACAATTATGACTGAGTAGTGAGTTCAATCCTCACTGGGTGCCCCATACTTTTGACCATGTGCCACATCTAAGCAACACTTGGAAATCGCAATAACATATACAGGGTGCCCCAAAGAATGTACTAACTTTTTGACTTTGTTGCCAGTTTTTATATTTATAATCATGCATTTAATTTCATTTAATATTTAATTTAAACTGTTAATCTTCTTTATAAATCAATAAACATTAAGATTTCTTAATTTTAACATTAATTGCAAGTCTATAAAACCACTGCATTTATTGTCATTTAAAGAGTGAATACATTTTTTTTAATGTGCTAAAAAACTCTTGGGAAAGATATGAATCCTCCTCTTTTCCTCTCAGCTAGGGGTAAATAGCAGGACAGACTGGGTTCTATAGCCTTGGATGGCAACTGGTCTACTGCAGAAAGACATGACATCCTACTGTGGGGAAAAAATCTGCCTTGTCAGTCATGTATCGAAAGATACATGATTGCCTTGTATTACGCATGGCACATAACTCATTAACATTTTTGAGGATACCCTGTATAATGCAGGATATTCCTCATCTATAACCTTTGTTATTCTTATCTAAATAAATATAAAGATACAAAGGTTTAAATGAAACTTAAATTCATTATACATTCAGTACAAGAATATTACAAAAGTGGTTAAGACAATGTATAAATTTATATTTCAAAAAACAATCATTACACAAATACAAGTTGATGTTTATACTTCATCATAAAATGATTTAATTCCTTACCAAACACAACTATAATCTTAAACTATTCAAATCTAGGGACAACCATTATCTTACTCTTATATACCTATAAACTGAGGGCATCTTGGTGTGGTGTAATGGTTAGCAAGCTTGTCTCGCTAAAACAGTTATAGAATAGTGAGTTCGATTCTCACTGGTTGGCCCATACTTTTGACCTTGTCCCTTATCTAAGTTATCCTTAGAAAATCAATATAACTATAAATTGAATCTCTTACTCTGTAGTCCTCTACCTTGAGTGGTTACTGGGCCTTGTACAGGGTGAACAATATTGTTAAAAAAAAAGAAAAAAAAAAAGAAAGAGCAATTGATCCCAGTTCATCTGCTTAAAATTTTATAGTTATACTTTTTCGAATATTTTGAATACCTAAAATAAACTTTCTAATCCTTCCACCCACCTTTATTTTTTAAATAAACTATCAGTACAATTTTAAACTAATATTTTAAACAAGAGCTGCTATAAAACAGCAAGCACATATTTAGTGTGACTTGTATTTTAAAAGCTCTCCTTGTTAGCCCACTACAAGATTCAAATTTTGAAATAAACAGCCTGCTTTTTTCATTTGCATTTAAGCAAATAAATGACAAAGTGGGAAAAATTCCGTGTAACATGTTTTGTCCTATAAAAGGACATCATCAGACTAAAGTAATGTTTTGGTTGATGGAATTATATATGCATTGAAGGGGGAGATATAGAAAAAATGCAAACATCAGTAATGATTATATTTGCAATTAACTAATTGTTTTGTTAGTGTATTTATTAATGTATGACATTTTTTCTTAGATTATTTTTCAGTACTAGTACACAGTTGTTCATTATGCTTTTCTTTTGTTTTCCATCACACGCTGATTACAAAATGGATTCAAATAAAATTCAATGATTCATTTAGATTTTATTAATTTATTTAGGAAACTCATTTTTTTTCTTTGACCTTTGAAAATGTGTAAAATATATAATGTTGCCATAATAATGAACAGTACATTTGTACTTCATTAATTTAAATCACCTGATTGAAATTGTGATGGTTGAGTTAGGAAAGAAAATTTTTGAATCTTATATGCAACCTTCAATTTATATTATTAGATGTGTGCAACAGATTCCAGTAAAAATCTGGTTTTCAACTGTGCATTCAAGTGTCTATTAAAAAAATAAAAGTAATTAAAGAACCTTGGGAACATAGACATATCTAAAATATACAACCCATAATTTTCAACGCATCATGAAAAATAATAGCTGTATTTTCTTGTAGAAATACAGTTTTGCTGATAAATCTGAATCAATTTTGTGTCATGCAATTAAGGTTGTTGATTCAAAATTTACTTTTTCTATGAATCTTTCAAGCAACTGTTAGTAAAGATCTGTTTCCAAGATGGGGAAAAATTAATATAGATATCATTACTACAGATTCTTTTAAATCTATGATATTTAAAGCTATAATATATGCTACAAGCACAAGAATAGTGTAATGGTTATTAACACAGAAAGGGGAAACAGCAAGCCAAGTTCAAATCCTAGCTTTATCTGTTGCATACAATTTTGCATTAATGCCCATGAATGGAATGCATAAATCCACCTCTTCTCCCTCTAGCTGTAGGTTAAATAACAAGGTAGCTAACACAGGGTCTAAGAACAGGAAAAATCTGAACTGAAAATCATAGAAAAAGCAACAGGAAACTACTCCATTATCTTTCCCAAGAAGTCATGGCAATTACCCTAAAATCAGTGGAGAGACATAATACCAGAATCTCGATTCCTGGCATTAAAAAAAAAAAAAAAGAACAAAGAGAGAGATAGAGAGGAAGAATAAAATGTAGCTTTGTACTGGGGACATCAAATAAATAATGAGAGACTATCTGTTTAGATGCCTACATATTTGCCAGAACAAATTCTGAAACCTCTCATCAAATGAAGACTTTAATATGGATACCATGCATGGTGCTAAAATCGTTCAGAAATATCTAAACTCTCTGCTGTATAAGACTGACTTCTAGGATCAATGGTTGAGTGAGTGAAGCCTGAGGGTCTTGGCAAAGGTCATCCCTATTTGAATATTGTAGACTGGTGCTACAGAAACAAAAAGCTGTATGAAATAACAGAAAACACACCACTTGAGGACTTTCAACAGCAGCACCAACTAAAATGGATAGCATATATAACTTGAAGAGAAAATGACATAATCAAGATGGTGACATTCCACATTACTAAAAACAAAAAGTTAGGAAGGAAATCCCCATTAATACTGAAGAGAATGGTAATAGTTACTGAACTTGAGAAACCAGGTTTCCTGAAAAGTTGTTTTATAGAGAAAGATTTTATAAATTTCAACCGACAATAGTACTGGCATGCTTGGTCAATGAATGCCAAATGTCTCCTTATAAGGAAACGGCTAATACTACCATTACTAATAAGTATTATGTACAAGCGAAAATTCCAAGCACTCTTTTTTTTTTTCTTTTGAAAACTAGAGATTGAACACAGTTGAAAACCAGGTTTCCACAGGAAATTTTTTTTATACACCAAATAAATCTCAATTTAATGAATATCAGATATTTGTTGAGAACTGGCATACAGAGAAAAATAAAGAGTGAAGAGAAAAAGAAAAGAAGCAGCATTGATCCCTGCATTTATTATTCATACCTCTCGTCCTACAGCTGCGATTTGCCCTTCATCCATACACGTCTCTGTAACTACATCAGTTAATGAACCTCCTGCAAGATATTCCATAACCACCTACAAGGAAAAAAACATTTGGAGGATTAAAAAAAACAAACAAACTTGAAATACATTTTTGCTTCAAATCAGATACCATTCTTCTAAAAGTGACATTAAAGTGCCAATGAAAAAATATACAAACAGAAAATAATTAGTCATACAATTATTAAGCTTATATTCATATATTATGATTATATATTTAATAAAGTATTCTTTATATTTTGTAAGATATTTATAGAAAAATATTATTGGCAGAAATGGATTTATAATTTATATGATTTAAAGTAAATCAAATTTTGTTATTAAACTACAAAATTGGTATTTAAACAATGAAAGCTTATTAGTGAAACTCTGAAAGAAAGAAAAACCTTTTTCTCTAATTGAATATACAATAAAGCTTTTTCATAAAATCTATATAAATAAATGTGAATGTAAGTGTGTCATTGTGTCACACCTTTTCAACTTTACTCCTAGAGACATATACCATTTTGGAATCAGGCTAACTCTAAGCAAATTAAAGACATTACAGGCCGGATCTGGAGCTGCAATTCTGGATTCCCAAGTTCTCATTACTCTGATTGTTTTTGGCGATTTTTTGTGATAAATTTTTTGTACAATAACAATTTTTATAACTTGGAAATAAATTTGGAAATAACTGAAAATAATTGCCAAATCCAGTGAAAATCACCCATGAAATAAAAATAATTATTTATATGGCAAATAAGGACCTATGTATATCAAATTCTCTTTAAGTGGCAGCAAAAGAATTATCATTGAACTTTTAAAAGGTGAGCTTAAATATTAATGCAATACTTAAATGCAGTTATCAATTTTAAGTTCTTTTGTCTATTGCATATGGTAATAGTATGCCTCACAAAAAGAAATCTCCACCAACAAGACCTGATTGCAATCAAAAGAGCCAAGGCTGCAGTGAAGAAAAGAAAGTCTTGTGCAAATGAAAATCCAGATCCAATGACAGCCAGGAGAGATTCCTTTGCTGAGAATATGCAAAGATTTAGGGATTCTCAAACTCCTGAAAAAGTTGAAGACCCATTCATAAGCCCTCCACGGGAGTTAGCTTAAATACTGCCCAATAGCATTGCTTTTAAAAAAATAAAAAGATTCTTATGACTGAGCTGAATTGATCAGAATCAGATTATGTTAAAGTGCTTCTTTTTAATTATATTAAACAAAAAAACTTTACAAAGTAGGAATAAGTCAACTTAAAAAATCAGTTTCAGTTTCTCAAAATTTCAAATGTAGATAGGAAAAATACATCTTTTTTTTCTCTTATTGTGTTAATGTTAATTTAAGAAAAAGAAAATTCAATTCATAGTAGCTAAATGATCCCTCCCCAAAATTCTTTGTTACAAGTTACGCCCCTTGAAGAAACTTCAGACTAAAAATGTTGAACCATTCCTTCTAGGAATGAATTGTATTATGTAGATTTTTTCTTTGCCATTTTGTTCTTTAAATAACTGTTAGTAGCCTGGTGTATAGATTTATGTATTTTTAACCTGAACAAATACAAATACCAAAATTTTAAGATTTTTTTATTTTTTTTTAAAATGAGATCTTGCATTAAAATAACTAAAAATAAATGATTTTCTGAGGAGAAAAAAAAAATCCATTTATAGACTTACCCAAAGCTCTTCACCAACCAAATAACTATCCAAATAATTTACGATGTTTGCATTTTGGTTTTCCCTCATGACCAAAATTTCATTAATGATCAATTCTTTCTTCGGCTGTTGTGACAGATTCATAGTTTTAATAGCAACTTCCCGTCCAGTTGCAATTTCAATGGCTATGAACACAGTTCCTGATGCTCTGAAAACAATAGATTTGCCTTATATTAATTAGATTTTTAGACATTTTCATTATTAATTTTTTGACCACCTTTTTCAGGATAGAGAAAGTTCAGGCTTTTTCATTTGCTAATTCTTCATTTTAATTCATCTAATTTGAACAACTGAAAAATATTTGACCAAGAACTTTGTGACAAAATACAACAATCAGGGAATAAAACAAACAAAAAAAAAATTAATATCCATTTTAATAATTTCACAATAATATCAAATCAAGTTCAATACTTTATAAAAAAAAATTGATGTACCTTTTTCTAGCGTTTTGACAAATAGTTTCATTCATATTTACCTTATTATTCAGTTTCTGAATTTTATTTTCTGGTTTTCAATGGCCTTTTTTTCTTTACAGTAAGGTTCACCTTGTACAAGGCCTGGGACCACTCAAGGTAGAGGGTTACATTAAGGGATAGTTTATATGTATAGGAAGGGAAGTAATGGTTGACTCTAGACTTGAACAGGTTAAGATAGTAGTGATCGGGGAAACATCTTTTTGGGAGTCTGTTTCATAAAGCAGTGATTCATGGGAAGAAGCTGTTTGAGTGAAACTTACATCTCGCCAATGGAATATGGAGGGAATGAAAGTGGTTTGCTACTAGGTAAGTAGCATACTGGGTCCTAGTCATGGAAGTCAAACCTGGTGAAACCAGGAGATGCAATTCATCTGAGCACTTTCCATGGTTGTAGTGATAAAGCAGTGAGAGACTTGCTACATAGGTTTTAATGCATTCTGTCAAAATAAAAGTTTCCAGCATATTTTTGACAAAATCTTAGTTACATGAAGTCATAGCAGCATTATTCAGTCATCAAAATATTTTCCCTGGATTTATATTATATTCAGATGTGTTTCACTTGAATTGTGTTTTCTGTCACTACCTTTGAATTTGATGTAATCTTCAATATCTTAAATTTTTTTCTAAAATAACTGACCACATAAGGAGTATGGATTGGGACAAAAATGATAAATATATACACAAATTGCTTTGCTATCTGATTTCTTAGATGACATAGCTTTTGGAAGGCAACTTCTGCTATTCCAATGCACCTTCAGATTTCGGTGTTGCACTTTCCATTCTCTCCTAAAGCCCCTCCAAAATATTTAAAATGTACTTGCTTGATTTTGGTATCTCCAATTTGTAATTTGCATGCTAGGTCGTTCCTTTTTGCTGACAATCATACAATCTATCTTGCAAATGATGTGTTGTCCTTTCTACTTTCTTTCACTCCCTTCTGTAGTTCTTGTAATTTCCTTATTTTTATCTTCTAAAATATTTTTCAAACGAAAGATTTGCTTCTAATCTTTCTGTAATTTTATGTGTTGCTCTGTGTCTTCCTTCAAAACTCTCACTGACCAATTCACCAATTTTCAAATTCTGGAAACCTCTCAGAGTTTGTTCTGAACTTAAAATTTTCCTTTTTTTTTAAAAAAAAAACAAAAAAACAAAAAAAAAAAACAATAACAAAAAACATTCTTGATATATTCTTGCATCTACAATATTATTATCACAAACCTTATCTCTTTTCTGCAAACAATTCATAAAGTGAAGACCTGATTTAATAAAGTAAATTTCAAAGACACTAATATTTCCTACTATTGTACAAAAAAGTAAATTGAAAGAACTCACCCTTGGCCAATTTTTTCCATCTTGGTATATTTTCGATTTGGGTCGCCTATAGTTACAATGGTACGTAGCTTCTCTAATATTTCTTCATCTGTCATTTTCTTTTTCTTCGGCTTTTCTTTCTGACCAGGTGTAGCACCATTTGCCTTCTCATCAGGTTCAATTGGTTTGGTGTACTGGATATGAAAACAAGAGGCTTATTTTAGATTTTTTTTAAATCATTTAACAGCCAAACAAATAAAATTTTACCACAGAAACATTATTTATATCAAGTATTTCAAAATGTACTAAGTTTAGCCTAATCTGGCACAAAGCCACAAAAATAGGACACCCTGTGAAGATTGCAGTAATGATATACACCATACTTATGGTCATGTAGCAGTCTAGATAAACTCAAACTATATATATATATATATATATATATATATATATATATATATATATATAGTTTTTAATCAGTTGTACCCTATGCGAGGCAATAAAGCCACTAAGACACAAGGGGTTATTGGGTTTGGAAGAATTAGGAACAGAAACATTAATACAGTAGTCCACCGCTATAGCGCAGATATTGGGGTCCAAGATGGCTGATCCATGCTACAAGTGAATTGCGGTAGCTGTGGGGTGTGTTCAATAATAGGAGGTTGAACACCTACCTGATTTTGAGGCCCTGCTTGCTTTATTTTGTGATATATACTGTAGATAATGGCTTGAAATGAACCTCAAAAAATTATACTAATTTATGCCAATGATTTCATAAGAAATATCGGGTAACTTGCTTTTAAAGTTCCTTCCTAAATATCTAATAAAAATTTCCTGAATTGTTATTTTCTATCCTAAATTTACATGCTTAATTTAAAAATAACAAAGAAATTTTTATAAAATCTACTGTTTGGAGTTATTGACAATAAAAGTTTGGACTCATTGTTGTTGTTGGCTACGGCACTGCAGCCATTATTGGCATTGTTTGCATCAGTGCGTGCACAATAATCAAGACAAGTCAATGTTTATTCCACAGCAAATATATGCAAACATCAGTAATGGTTGTCATGATGCAAATGAGTCCGAAACTTTATTGCCAATAACTCAAAAAAGTAGATTTTATCAAAGTTTCTTTGTTATTTTCGAATTAAGCATGTAAATTTATCCATAAATATAACTATTCAGGAAATTTATTACTGGGGATTCCCAATTGCGACCCCTAATATTTGTTTATTTATGAGAGATTCTTGATGTCTACTATTGGACAGTCAAATTGAATATGATCAACCAGAGAAAAGTACTCCTATTTATACCCCGTCTATGATATCTGATTGCAGTGATTGAATTCCTGTTAATTAGTCCAATATTATAGGAACTCTTTGATCATGCATGAAATAGAAATATAAAGTAATCATGCATAATTATTACCAATTGCATAAGGTGTGAAATGGCTGAGGTGTTAAAATTTTGCAAAATTTAGGCTGTTTGATCATAGAGATCAAGGTAAAATGTTTGAAAAAGGGGTGTAATTATTATTCGTGATGGTGATGTTTGCATTAGGACCCATCTGATGATCGCTGTTTGTTCTATCTATCATGAAGAAGATGACCTAGAAATTAGTAAAATAGGGTGGAATTTCTAAAAAAGTGAGTGATATTGAGGGTACAGGAGCAAAATTTTGGGGTCCACCACCCACCCATGGTACACTGAATACTGTGGGAAAGTGGTTCACCTAATAGCGGGAGACTTCTATAATGAGCAGGAAGAGAAAAGACTAATCAGGACAGTAGATAGCAATTAACATTGCATTTAAATTTTTGCAGATTAAAGTTGATGGGAAAACATGGAGCTAATAGAGAGTTCCACAAGTGAGAAAAGAAACTGTTAGCATAGAATTTACGGCAACATCTCGTCAGCTTAACTATAAATTGATGAGATCTTGACACCAGTCTAGTACTTTGCTTAAATTCAAAAAGTTTAGGTATCATAGTGAAGAGCTCATCTGGACAATTACTATGAAAGTATTTATAGAAAAGACAAAGAGGCAATCTTATGGCAGTGGGAAAGTGATTGAAGCTGACCTGCCAAATCAAAACTGATAATATTGCTGATTTTTCTTTAGATTTTATCAAGAATCTCAAGGTCAATAGCAAGGGCACCAGACCATATCTGATAGCAATATTCTAAGGATGGATGAATGGTAGACTTATAGATATGTATGACAGATTCTGGAGAGAAAAAATTGTCTTACATGATACAGTGAACTAACTTTTTTTAGCAACTGACCTAGCAATAGATTCAATATAGTCTTATCTCTCTCTTTCATATATATATATATTTTAAAGAAAAACAGACTTTAAGGTACCATTAAGATAATTTATTTCAACAGAGCCCTTTTAAAGGATGCGGATCATCAAATGGCACTTCCAAAAAATGAAATGAAACGAAAAAAATGAAAATATATATATATATATATATATATATATATATAAAAAGTGAACATAAAGTCAACACTTAGAGCGACAGTCTGTTTCATGCTATATAAAGGTTATCCAAATAAATAAAACAAAGTCAAAAATAACCACATATGAATGTTATTTTCTTGGCTAACTTTATATATATACGGGTTAGTGAATAACATTGTGGGTATTCTATTATGGCGGTTATTTTTGCAAATAAATAAACAAGCGACTTCGGTAAAAAATACTTTTATATTTACACACGCCTATCTCTGATATTGAGCACTTTATCCCATAAATATAGCACACCCTAAGACTATATTTCTTATATATATATATATATATATATATCTCAGTCATTTCTTTTCATTTGGTAATTTTTCTTTTTAAAATTGAATAGATTTATATAACAGAGACAGAGATACTGTGTCCCAAAATAGTTGTTACATTTCTTGTATAAAATTTATATGCAAATATAACAAGTATTATGAGACAAAAATAATGTATTTTAAAAAGTACATTTATAAGATACACTCACAATTGATTTTGTCTTATCAGGTCTGGTTGCAATTGGAGGAGGAGGTAATTCTTCTTCTTCTTCAGGAGTTGTTGGTGCAGAACTTTCAATTTTTGTCTGAAACAACCAAGCACATCAGATTAGCTAGACTCTTAACAGTTTCAAGTTAGAAACTGAATGAACAATATCGGATAAAAAATGAAATAAAACCTTAGTGAATTTAACTAATCAAGCAAAATGTCATTATACTGAATAATTAAAAAATATAAGAAAACTTAAACTGATAGGATATTGTAGTAATATTTGAGTATTTTGAAATTTGAGAACAGATATTACAATTTTTATGAGATAATATAAAAAATGGCTCTGAATGTATGTTTTTTTTTGCATTTTTAAACATTTATATATTTTATATATATATATATATTTTTATTTTAAACATTTATATATATATATATATTTTTTTTTTTTTGCATTTTAAACATTTATATATATTTTTAAACATTTATATATTTTATTTATATATATTTTAAACATTTATATATATTTTATTTTTAAAAACATTTATATTTTAAAAACATTTATATATATTATTTATATATATTTTTAAACATTTATATATTATATATATATATATATATATATATATATATATATATATTTATATATATATATATATATATATATATATATATATATATATATATATATTTTTTTTTTTTGCATTTTTTATATATATATATATATATATATCCATAAGCTTTATTTTAAATGTAGCTAATATCCCCATATTTTAAACATTTAGTTAGAAAAAAACAAAAAAATTTATTCAGAAAACATTTATAGAGAAGAAATTTTTTTTATGACAATACATACTGATTTATATATTATATATATATTTTATTATATATATATAAATATATATATAGATATATATAAATAAATATTATTATATTATAAAATCAATTATATATATTATTATATATATATTAAAAAAAATATATATAAACAGATCAATGTATTAAATTTAGAAAGAAAAAAAAAAATTTATTCAGAAAGGGCTTGATAGAGATATTAAAATTTAAAGATACTGATTTAATAATTACATTAATACATTTTGCTGAGTAGGGGAAAATCATTTACAGATGCAAATAAATAAAACCTAAAATTATAATTTCCCTGTAAAAATAAATATAAATTTAAAAATTTCTGAAGATATATTATTTAAGAGGTGAGTAGACAACATTTCTAAAATTATAATCAAATAAATATAAATTTAAAAAATTCAAGTAGCTGGTTGACCATCAATAAATACATAAATTAGAATTACAATAAAAATAAATCACTTAATTCTATAAAAGAAATTATAATTAATCAACTGAAGAATTAACAAAGAGCGATGATTATCAAACATTCAATATTTTGAGGTGGGCATATGTGGAGAGTTGATATAAGAAGTGGTAAGTAACAAAAAGTATGATTTTGATGATCATGGAAGGATAATGATAGGTCTTAAAATTCCAGAAGGTATCAACATTACTTTATATTAACTTATTTTTTAAAAAAATATTTTCAAATGTCTTCTGCAAATTTTAACAAGTGCTGAAAGAAAATATAAAATATTGGCTTTTTCATTATTAAAGATAACAGACAATAAGGTCTAATAATAATGGGAGAAGATCATATATAAATCTGTATATATCAGAACAATGTTGGGTAACTCAATGACAAACTAGAAAAAATCTAGAATTTCGACCTGTAGAAGGACTTCATTAGACTAATGTTCTGACTGATGGAATTGTATATCTGTGGTGGGAAGAGATACAAAATGTGCTATATAGCATTTTTCCATTTTGGCATTCAGTTACCCAATAATAATAATACTTAGTCTCCAAATATCTGATGTGAACATGAAACTATTTTAGTAATATGATGGAAGATGTACTGAAAAATTCTTAGTTCAGTCAAGAAAATGACCAAGAGCCATGAAATGCACATGCACTCAGCATTTTAACACTATGATTTTTAAAAGTGGGTTGAACCAAGAAGTTTTTAGTCTCTTCATGTAATAATTATATGGATGAGAAAAATAAGGAATGAAAGAAAAAGAAAACAGGGAGGAGAAAAAGGAAAAGAAAATGAGAAAAAAAAAGAGAAAAGAAAACAGGGAGAAGAAAAAAAGAGAAAAGAAAACAGGGAGAAGAAAAAAAGAGAAAAGAAAACAGGGAGAAGAAAAAAAAAAATAAGAAAACAGGGAGAAGAAAAAAAAAAAGAAAACAGGGAGAAGAAAAAAAAGAAAACAGGGAAAAGAAAAAAAAGAAATGACAAGATAAGAAAGAAGCAGAAATGTGGGAAAATGATGATAGATGAGAAAACTGATGGAGGAAAAGTGGAAGATGGTGGATGGGGGTAGACAATAAGGAGAAGACAGCAGATGGAGGAGCAATAAGGGGAAAATGTCAGATGGGGGTACTAAGAAGATGACAATGGATGGAGGCCAATAAGAAGACAATCGGCAGATGTGGGCACTAAGAAGATGGCAGATGTGAGACAATAAGGGGAAAGATGGCATATAATTAAATAGATGCACATAAAATGACATGAAAATAAACCTTAGAAATAAAGAAAACAATCTTCCACTTACAGACATCACAAGACTGGCACCAGTTTTATCAGAAAGACTTGGTCGAACAGAACTGGAGCTCGAACCTGAGGATGCAGAATTAGAAAATAAATCAATAAGTATGCAGCGCCTGCAATGGGCTTCAAGACAAATGCACAAGGGGAAAAGGGTGTGGAAAATGGGAATTGGTGCTTTAAGAAAAATTTAAAAAAAAAAGCTCAATTCAAAATTTAGAAGATTAAGTTAAATAATCAAGTATCAAAAAATATCAATGAAAATAAAGATTTGAATTATAGGCCAACAAAGTCCAATCGAGATCTAGGTAATGACATAATTATGTTTATGTTTAAAACAATTACACAAAATAAATTAAGTCTATTTCTGTCATTATTAAAATTTACCTAAAAATAATGAGTATTTAAAAAAAAAAAAAAAACTTCAACAAATCTAAAGGCCTTCTTTCTATGAAAGTGCTGTAAGCCAATTCTGCACAAGGGAAATATATACACTATTACATGAGCACTTGTTGAAGAGTGATGGCTAACAAGCTAATTTCATAAACAAATCACTAAATAGTATAGCATTTTGATCCTCATTGGTACTCATTTAATTGTGGTTGTATTCCAGACTAAGTGTAGTAAATATTTATATAAAGGAGGGCAAAGGTCAATTGTTATGGTATACACACTCATAAGATACTTACTACTACTCGACTGTTTGATATGCATATATTTTGATTCTTTCTTTTCTTTAGTAGAATTGTCATAATAATTGAGCACATCAAGGACAGCTTGGGGATTTTTCTTCTGTTCAGATTTAGAAATATTGGAGTTCTGCAGCAGCTTTGCCCATGACTCTGGCATGCCCTACAACACACAAAAAATATAATTAAATTCAGGAGACAAGATAGTTCTCTTAAGGTACACACATGAAAAAGCAAATAAACCAAGTCATTGTTGAAGAAAAAAAAAATAAAGGAAAATATATTTTTTATGGCTTATCAACTCTTCAGTTTATTTAAAGCCAAAACATATTTTGGATTGTAGGAGATCACTTACACTACCTGGTGTTGTCAAGTAGTCCTCCATTTAAATACTGACCAAGCTCATCATTGCTTAACTTTGGTGAGCAAACAAGAACCAATCTTTACAGCATGACTTGACCACAGGTAGAATAAGAGACAAGGTGCATAAAAACTGTTACATGCTAAGCAATCAATAATTGTTTTGAAATATGAAAATTACAATGTCTGTACTGTTACTGTACACACAAAAAGATTAAAGTTTCTACAGCTACCATATATACTCATGTATAATCCTAATCCATGTATAGTGCAACCATTGAATTTTTTTTCCATATAGCTTGTGTATCATGCAACCCCAGATTCTGAGCAATACTAGTAGGTTTACCGCAGTCAAATATTGCAATACTGGGCATCACCTTGCATATATTTTATAACAAATAAATAGTGCAAAAAATGACTTAACAAAAAATATATGATACAAAGGTTTAGATACTGTACGAACAGAGGAAAGACTAACAGATAACCACAGTTGGAAGATGAAGTGTAGGTTAAAGGAATTTACTTATACCCTTTAAGGTTAGTCAAAGGTACAATGAGAATGTAGGCCTAACAGGTCACTAAAAATACATGAATTTTAAACTCTCAAAAAAAAAAAAAAAAAAAAAAAAAAAAAAAAACCTGTGTATAATGCAAACCCCTATTTCCCACATAAAAATAGGATCATAGAAACTGACATACGATAATTAAAAATTAGATTTAAGACATAATCTACAGGAAATATGAAGGTTGAAATACTGCAGATAGAAATATGTTTGAATAATTGATTGTATATAAAGTTCTATGTACATGTGTTTAGTGTCAGTTCACAGTGTGACAGCACTGGGTAATAGTATTCTCTAGTCATAAACACTAATGTTAGAGTTATACATCAAACAATGATCAGCACAGAATCATTTGCATGGAAATTAAATGGTAATTTGATATTGTATTGTACTAAATTAACCAAATTATTCTTGTAAGCATTAAGCCTTTCCCCAGAGAAGACAGTTTATATATGTTTTTGCCAAAAGTATCTTTTTCAGACACAGATGAAGAAATATGTTCAAAAATCAGCTATAAATCTGTTTATACATCAATCTTGAGTATTTTTATGCCCTTCTGAGCTTGAAACAAGTTTAATTGTCAATTCATATGTCTGATAGATGTGTTAAATCCATTAATTTAAATATATATATATATATATATATATAATATCACACACGCACAGAGGCTGTGATGGGTAAATTATTGCCATTTTATATGTTTAATCTTACGCATTTTTTTTTGGTTTTTGTCAACTGCGCAGTATAACAGGGTAAGTTGGGCATCATCTGTGAGAAAAAGAACATCATGATGCAATTCACTCTGTCAGAAATTTGGAAACAGCATGCTTTACTGCTTGGCATTCGCACCAGAAGCTCCAATACAAACATTTCAGAGTGTTTGGAACAGTGCAGAGGATTCAGAAAGAGTTGGATGAGTTTAATGGTGATTATGAAAGTACGGTTTGGAAAAACTCACTCTGAACATTCTGATGAGAAAAGAACTCCCGAATTTGTTGGTGAGGGCTTCAGACTCAACACAGAGGCCTAGATCAGGTGCCTTGAGGAGGTAGTACTGCTCTGGGTCAAGAGGGTGGATGCTGGTAAAACCTATGTCTGGCAACAGGACTGCACCACCTAACTCCCCAGACTGCAACCCCCTTAATTATTGTGTTGGAGTACAGTTGTGCGAGAGAGCAGCAAAACTCTTTGTAACAGCAAAGATGAACTGAAGGCAAGGATTATGGGAGCATTCACCAACCTAAACAAGGAGACCATCCAGGACAGTTGCAGGAGATTCTGAAATTGTCTGGAGGTTGTGGTTGAAGCCAATGGTGATTTTATTGAATAAATTACTCTTTAGTATTTCAAGATACTTTTGTGTAATTTTAGTAAATATATCTGTTAAAATGAGATGTCAGTGTTATTTTCATTTTTGTGTAATTTAGACAATTTATCCATTGCACCCAATATATATATATATATATATATATATGTGTGTGTGTGTGTGTGTGTGTGTGTGTATACACACACACAACTGACAGCAGGCAATGTAAGTTTTGCAAAGATGTATAAGTGTCCTAAGTGTTAAACACAAAAAATTGAACCCCTCACCTGTAAAAAGTGCTTTGTAGTATTTCAATTACTAGCAGTTGCCTAAAACCCTTATCATTTTTACTGTTAATTAAAACATCCATTTTTAACCAAGACAATGGTTTAAAAAAAAAATTCTTTTGATGATTAATTCAACCATTAAATAAGGTATGTACATCAAAGACTGGTCCTTTCCAACATAAGGTTAATTATGAAATATTCCAGTCACCTGAAATAGTCCTAAGTCTCTCAAATAACCCAAAGTATATACTATAGACTTACCAACATTACCTGGCATTTTATACAGTTAAGTTCATACGGCCACATGTTTCAAAATTCTACACTTACTAAAATGCTTTGAAATAATTCAAAAGTTAATGTTTGTATCAGAGTTAAACTGATTATGTGCAGTCTTGTGACTGTAGACATGAATGAATAATCAAACAATATGATCAAACTTTGGACAAATTTGATATGATATTTTTTCTATCCGAATCATTTTAAGTTCAACAAATCAAAGTACAAATTACTATCAGCATTAATTTAATAATAATAATAATGATATAGATGAATTTTTTTATTTTTCATAGAAATAATTTTATTTATGTAAATACTGTAGTTAAAATCTTTTGAGCTGAAAAAAAAAAAAATAATATATACAGTGTAACCCGGATATAAGAGACCCGGATATAAGAGAGATTTTCTCTGGTCCCAAATTAGAGCCTGTGTTAATGTAAACAAAATAGACCAAACCCGGATGTAAGAGAAACCCGGATATAAGAGACTTCTCTTCTGGTCCCGACAACTCTCTTATATCTGGGTTACACTGCATATATATGGTTGGATGGATGTGAGTTTGTGACCCTGGGTTTCACGCTTTTGCGATCATCAGACAAACTGATTAATTTTTTTAAAAATTTAGGTTTATGTAGATTGCGTGTATTGGTGTTATTATGGGAGTAGGGGAAATCGTCGTCGTGATGTCATCGTGCTAACGCAAACATAGATGCATGTCTGTACATCCGATGAGGTATGCACACATACACACTTGCTTGTCCGTCGGGACTCATACATATATAAACATATGTGGACAGTTTCGGATTTGACATATGTATGTATATGGGTGGTGTTGTGTCTATACATACGCATTTGTATGTTGAAATTCAAAAGATTGGAAGTGTAGTGAAAATTTCTCGTGAATGTATACATGCCAAAAATCAGAGTATTTATCTTTTATATATATATATATATATATATATATATATATATATATATATATATACGTGTATAACTCATAAATGATAAATTATCATGAATGCAAGAAATGTAATATCAACTTTTCAAGCCTCCATCTATTTCATTTTCATTGACTGTGAAAAGAATATAGATTAGATTGTATAATCATATTTTCAGAAGTTGTTCTGTAGGTTTTCAGTTATTCATTAACTCATTTTCTAAAGTATTATAAAAATTTCTTAAAAAATGAGATTTAAAAAAAAAAAAAAAAAAAAAATATTATTTTTTATATTTTATTTCCTTTTTTTTTTAAACAAACATATCAAAATATAATGCTATTAAAAAAAATATAGATAAAAAAAAAAATGATTCAAACATGCCATTCTAAAACATGATTTTTGCCTGGATTTCAAAAACAAGCTGTTGTTATTACTGTATATTTGTAATGGTAGTACTAATATTAGCCATTTCCTTATCAGTAAACATTCAGCATTTAATGACTGAGCAGCCAGTGCTGCTGTCAGTTGAAATTTGTAAAATCTTTTGTATTAAAAATTTTTTTTTATGAAAATAGATTTCCCCAATACAGTGATTGTTATTGCTCTTTCCAGTATTGAAGGAGGCTTCCTTATTTGCCTTTTTTTTTTTTTTTTTTTTTAAAGTAGTGTGGAATGTCAACATTATGATTATATCATTCTTCTTTCTTTGAATTATATGTAGTATCCATTTTAGTTATTGCTGCTGTTAGTAGTCCTCAAGTGATGTGGTTTCCATTATTTGGTTCTTTCTTTGTGATTCTGTAGCACCAGATGATGAGGTTTGAAGAAGGATGGTTCTTGCTGAGACCTATATGCTTCACTTGCTCAAAGCCACTTTTAACCTTTGATCTAAGAAAGCAGTTGTATACAGCTGACAGTTTAGATATTTCTGAACAGGTTTGGTGCCATGCATAGCATTATATATATATATATATATATACACACTGCCTAAATACACACAATTTAAATTACATGATCCAGCAGCCCACAATACTATCAATACTTGGAATTACAAATGTAGCCTTGTGAAAAGGCAAATCGAAATATCCAAGGAAAAATTACATCTTTGATAATGGCTTAAGTAAGCCGAAAGCTTAGATTATATTAAAAAAATATGGATCAATATTGTGAATTTCTTTCTTCGTTTAATGATAATGTTATCAAACTTATCAGATGTTACGAACAAATTTTACATAAAATAAATAGACAACACTTGTCTATATTATTTAATGAAACGTGTATATATATATATATATATATATATGTGTGTGTGTGTGAATGTCTTGATCTGATAAGAATATTTCAGAATGACACTATTTTAGCCTTCCACTTGTAAATTTGAGGCTTTTAACATAGGTTCTCCAGAGGAATTGGTATTTACGAGAGTTAATTGCCTTGTAGTTGTGCTGACCATTGACCCCCACCCAACCAAAAAAACAAAAAAAACAGGACAGAAATGGGATGAGGGATGAAAACCTTTGAAGTTTCATATCTGACATGCCTTGGTTAGTGAATTCCTGATATGATATGATATTTATCCATATCCAGTATCAAAACCACTGTTCATGATTGTAGGGGGGCACCTTGAAATTGTCATCTCACCCATTATGAAGGAATCTCCCTAACATGCGAATAATGTTTTAATAATTGACTGTAAATAGAAAATATATTAAGAAGTTGTACTTATTAGAAATAATAAAATTGTCATATAAAAAAGAACTTACAGTAAACTCTCCTGTGTGTGGATCGAACCCCACATGGACTGTGTGTTCAAAGTTTGATGGTGGAGAAATGACAGGTTTCTCATTTTCTTTTATTTTGGCTATTTTATTGCCTGGAAGAAAAAAACAAAAAAAAACAAAACATTTATTTTGAAAAAAATTACATTAATTGCAATTAAAAAAAAAACAACTTCTACATGCAAGTGTAAAGTGTTGCTAAATAACTTAATTTGGTTGAGTTTGTTATGAAAATGTACAACAGCTTAACCCAATATTTTAAGGACACTTAAGAAACAAAAAATAAACAAGAAAATGATAGCACATTTTAAAATTTGGATAAAAGACCAAATAAGCTGCACCCCTCCCCCACCAAATATATAAAATGTTGTTCAAATGGAAAAAAAAAACAAGTTATATCTGAGTAAGCATAGCTGTTATGACATGACTGGGTTTCATAAATATAGAAAAATTTACAAGAATCATAAAAATAAGTTTAACACATAAAAATGAAATTTTTCTACGTGCCATGTCCCTTCAGAGCACTGCCAATCATGGCTCTCCACAATTTCCTTTCCTTTGTAGTTCTTAATAAATTTTGTCTTTTTCTTATCTCTCTTAAACCTTGTTTTGCCATCCATTTACTAAAGTTTCCTAGGTAGGTTATTCATTGTTTTCCTCTGTCCCTCTTGCCTTCAATCTATCCTGTGAGTATCAAATTCTACAAGCCCTCTTTCCTCATTATGTGCTATAGAAATTTCAATTCATTTCTCTTTTTCTGATTTTAAGTATAAATGTCTTTTTTGTTTAGATTTTCTCTAAAACTTTGTCATTGTTCAGTTCATGATATTCTGCTGTGGAATCACATTTCTGTTGCTTCTTATGTGAGGAGGTTGTCCAGCATTCACTGCTGTATAGGAGGACTGATATTATGTAATAGTTCAGTACTCTTTTCTTTGTTTCTAATGAAAATTTCCTGTTTCTTAAAACTTTGCTTAGCTTTTGGGAACCAATTTGAGAACATTACCAAAGTAGAAAATCAACTGAATTGATAGAATCACATACAAGAATGTATGGAAGAACAAAGAATCTAAATAAAAATTATTTAAAAAAATGCACAGATGGTGAAAAAGTAAAACCAACTATTTATTTGTGAAATGAAAAAAATTTCTTCTCATTACAACCATTTTTTTTTTTTTTTATTAATCTTAACTGATTTACAATGAAATAATTAAAATTTTCTCAAGGAGGCTCTTTGCCTTGAATGCCTATTGAGACTCAAGATCACTCCAAATCTCAAGTGGAACATATATACAAACCATCGTTAAAGAGGCTGGAGAATGGTTGGTTCCTTGTACTGCTCCAGTAAGTAACCGACACTGCTTGCTATGCTCTATCTTTACAAAAGACAGATCAAATCAAAAATGTTGTACTGTAGTCATATCTGAGATGGAGCTGCTCAGTTCTTGCTTTTCAGATTTCAGAAGCATCTTACAGCCTTGTAGATAATAAATTATTTCCCACTCTACATACTAATCACAAGCCTCTCATTACGCTATCACTATTTTCATGGCAAATGTTCTCATGGAACGATTCATACCACTTCTCTTCATATTCTATCAGTATGGAGGAATTTCCCCTTTAAGTCTTGGGTGAACTGATGCCTGTCTTAAACTGCACTTCTTACCTCCTCTTACATGCAACAACTTCACAACTAGTAATCCTCTATCTTGAGTGGTTCATGGGCCTTGTATTGAGTGAAGAATTAGTAAAAAAATGATTAATTTGCATGTTAAAATTTTGTACATTGTTAAATTATATGAAATTGAAAATTATGTTTAAAGTCATTTTAATTAAACATCACTAATATTTTTAAAACACATCCTAGTTTAGTTACCAAGCAATTATTATTTCAAACAATTAGTACAGCCAAGATTTAGTTGCATTTTAAAGTATTTTTATAATTGTAAATGAGGTAATTATACAGTTCTAATGAAACTGTTATATTAATAATTTTGTATTTTAATTATGGCTTAAAACTGATATAATTTGGCAAAACATAATTAGCTGCCAAAAATAATTTTTAAAACAGTTCACTAAATTTCATGTAAACTTTTATTATACACTGTATAATTTCAGTATGGAGCTCTTCATGCAACTAACACAAGATATTTGATCAAACACCCACTTGAATAGAATCTAGTACAGGTTTAAAGTGGGAGTCCCATGTGCACAAAGGACCAGAGATCAAAAATAGTACAGTCCCCTTAGTATTTCCCCCTTTTGGAGACTAATCCTAGCTTCCCCAATGCCAATAGTGAGGTAGTGCCTGGGATGGGACTATATTAATTAATTTCTTTCAAGTAGAAAAGCTTAAAACAACTAACAGCAGGTATTTAATCACACATCCACTTGGAACAGAATATGGCACAAGACCAATTTTAAAGTGAGAGTTTCATGTATATAAGATTAGAGGTAAAAAAAAAAAAAATAGTCCAGTCCCCTTGGTATTCTCATTTTTAGGGGTGCCTTGAGTGTCAGAGACTAACTCTAATTACATCCTGAAGGAGAGTTACTGCCTGGGGAAATGGACTCTGATGGAACAGGATTTCATTAGTTTGGTAACTCTTGATCCATGCTTTAAAGCTAAACACAACACTATTTTATTCCAAGATATTCACAAATATGTCACGATTAACTAGCAGCTCTGACAGTTCTTTATGACTTAGTTTATTAAACGCTTTTGCATAATCTATAAAACATGGGTACACATCCTTCTGCATTTGTATTGCTCTTTCTGATATCATTCTAAGCATAAATATCACATTCCTTGTTCCAGTGTCTTTAATGAACTGACACTGTTCTTTACTTATTTCTAGTTTGATTTTGTTGCATACTCTATTCATCAAGAGTTGGATGATAAGCTTTGTTAAAATAGCTCAATGAGGTTGATTGTTCAATACTAGAAGTAAAATATAGTCCAATCCCCTTGACATTTCCACTTTTTAGGGATACCATGAGTGTTGGAGACTAAGTCTAGTTCTAACTTAAAGGAGACTTGGATGGAACTGGATTTCATTAATTAGTTTAGTAAGTCTTGATTCAAACTTTAAAGCTTAACACAGTGCTATTTTATTCCAAAAAACGTGGAATTTACCAATTTCCCCATAATGGTAGGATGAGGCACAAAGTCATTATTTAATGTGAGTGCTCATACAAGTACATATAGGCCAAGGAGAAAAATCGAATGCCCACTATCTGTAGCCACTGTCATTATAAGATTTTTGAGACATTAATCATATTCTATTGTACAATCCTCTCTAGTGTTGTGTGTTTGTGACATGGTTGTGTACCACAATGCAATGCAAAAAACCCTATCAGACATTTCAATTTTAGCTGTTGTTATTTGTTGTCAAATAAGGTTTTTTTATCCTGAATGTTGTAGTGTTACTTTCCTTGCTGAAACAAACGTTAGTTAATAACGGTTTTTCAAACCATCTTATAGATTACCATATTAGACTTAAGGTAACCAAAAGCAACACTGAACACAGAAAATAATATTTAACATTTTCTACAAAAATCAAGTGCATGCTAATAATAAGCAAGACGAATTTTCACTTAGAAACATCATAATGATATACACAACTCCAGTTGACAAAAACAAGAAAATTAAATTATTTATTATAAAAGATTTAACACTGCTAACCTCATCGTCAAAAATAATAACTCACCTGCAAAATCTAAATTACAGAGAACTAATATTATTTATGAATTTACATGTCTCTTAAGAAGCTGTGTTTCTGACCAATCTAAATTCGTAAATAATTATATTGCATATACGACAACATGTTTAACAAGAAAACTCACATTACATCTCTCTGATCATAGCTCAATTAGGTCTCATTTAAATACACATGGAGATCTATCAAACTCTAGCTGTAACATACTCGTTGATAATACAAATATAATAGCATCATCCACATGTACAAAAAGGCTAAAAATAATAGAAGTATTATTAATAAAAAAGAAAAACCTAACACTCAATAATATCAACTATGAACAATGCACAATGTGTTGACCATATTTGGAAAATAAAAGATTCCTATAACTCTAGATACAAACATAAAACAATGCATATATTCAGTTAAAAGTAAAATAAAATTCATCCTTGATAATGGCTAAAAGTATAGCCAAAAGTGTTTGGAAAATATTCAGACAATTTTTATATAATTTATGTCCTGAAAAGAAAAAAATATATGTACACATGAGAAGTTATCTAAAAAACTCAACAACTGCACATTGCCAGTCGTTTTAAACGAAAATTGCATAAAAAGGATAGCTCCCAAATACAATATATACAATGTATATATATATATATATATATATATATATATATATATATATATATATATATATATATATATATTCTGTTTATACATGCCTATATATACACACACAAAACTGTTAAATATTTAACCATATGATAATTCAGCCATATGCAAGCTAACATTGATTTTTTAAAAAAAATATATTGCTCAATATCATTTAGACAGAACAATATAACATACCGTGTAAATATTGTGGTTTTTTTATCTCATGACAAACATCTGCTTGGTACATTTTTAATAAGATCCAGAAAGATATGATATTTACATGACACACGCACACACAAAATGGTGTTAAAAAAATCCTTGGATCAACCAAAATGGATTTTTAAAAAATTCTGATGTTTGGTCATTTGGTCAGATTTTGGGAAAAGCAGAGAGCTTTTCAGCACCCACTTTTATATAAAAAATTTCCTCTTGTGGAAACCTGTAGTATCCTTATAGAGCATAAGGCCACATCATATCATGCAAGGTAATACTACTGTGGTTTCTATAACAAGTAAGTTTTATAAGTTGCCCCATGTCCACTGTCCAATTGGTATGAATTCAGTTTTCTTTTTAGCACTCAAAGCTACAGAGCCCAGTCTGCCATGATATTTAACCTATAGCTGGAAGGAGAAGAGATGGATTCATGCCTTTCCCAAGGGCATGAGAGTGAACTTTTCAGTTAGAACTTTGTCTTGGCTTGCTAGCCCCATTAGAACACCTGCACCTGCATCACTACTTACATA